TTAGTTCTAATCTTGCCAAACGATAGATAAAACGATAGCTTTCCCAAAACACCATTATCATTGTCAACATTTTCAAAACTGTTTGATTGACATCATTTCTAATGTGCGTAGTATTGAACATATTGCATTTGCTCCGGGTATCAGTGGCCAGCAGAGAAAGACGTTTTTCTAAATTAAAAAGAAAAATTTAGTTAGTTACACCTATTCTATTTCTATTTTAAAACATGAAAATATAAACTCTAAAAATATTTTGAAAAAAGATTTAAACGGATACACCTTTTTTATACATGGGGGCGCCAAACTGTGATCTCGCATATGCCAAAAAAAATCTCTGGCCCTGGCAAAGACAGAAACAGGTATGCAAAAATAATGATAATGAATGATGATAATGGATGCACAACCAAACAATTAACTATTTAAATGAACATGGCTGAATCCTTTTTACTATAACTTGGATTAAAAGCTTCTATTGACAAGTGTAACTATATTTTTAAACTGTGTATAATTAACTATTTAAAAGAACATGGCTGACTCCTTTTACTATAACTTGGATTAAAAGCTTTATTGACAAATGTAACTGTGTATTTGGTGTTGATGATAATGAAATAATCTTTCCAACGAAATTAAGAGAATTTTCCGCAACACTTTTTATTTTAATTGCAACTAATCTTTTTATACATAGATTTGCATTAGTTCTTTATTTATTTAAACTAATATAATACGCCAGTGATTCCACTTAAATTGATAAGGCTGAACAAAGTTTGGCACTTTAGAGGCATTTTGCTTATGGAATTTAAAAACATTGTTGATGTGTATTTTATGGAATATAACTTTTATGAAATTTCATAGTTTATGTCTTTATTTATTGTCTTCTGTAAAATACACAAACATTAAATTGTCTTGAAATTCAAAAGGTGTAAAGGAATCGAAACACACAATAAGATTAAAAGTTTAAAGTTTGGCAAGAGTGCATTCCTTCCGCACCAAGAACATTAAGGGTATGTATGTTTCCATGTATGTCTGTAAAACAAAAATTTTATGTTTTACGGACATACATTAACTTAAATGTTCTCAAAACGACTAAAAAACCTGGCCAGTTTTTCACAACTAAATATTATTTCCGTGGTCAGTATTCGAGGGCATTTGAAAAAGTTTCAAGCAGAGGTCTAATAAAGAAATGTAAGGTTGACAGTCCATCTCTTAAGACTAAATTATCACTAAAGACTAGAGATCTGTGGTCCAAAGCAACTCAACTCAAGACGTAAGTTAAGCCAGAATAAACTAACTATCAACATAAACTGAGAAAAGACAGAGATGCAAAAAATGCCCTGCAGGGTTTTCATACATTCAATGCCAAAGTTGTAATGTATGCAAATGTACTTTGTATGCAAAGAGAACAAAATTATTTCAAGGATAGTGTAATGGATTAATTAATAAACGGATAGTTGAGAATTTTTTTTATAGAAAAAGCATTATTACAGAACAGCTTGTGGTCGAATGCGCATTTTTTAACAGCTGTTTTGTGATAATTTCAGTTGGATATGTTAGTAAAAGTTCTATACTATGTGGGCAGGATTGAAAAAGAATAACCTTAATAAACTAAATTGGAAATTAAAAAAAAAAACTAAAAGCGTTTAGAAGGGGGGCAGTAATACCTTATGTACTACCTATGAATATCTTATATATAGATAGGTTTTTGTGACAGAAAGAACCTTATGTGACAGGTTCTTTCTGTGACAAAGGCTATAACAAAAAATTTAATAATCTTCGTACAATATGTTTACCTGAAATTAAATAGATATTTATAGGTAAAATTTTAAAATCTAAAATATTATTGAACCATCTGAATGATTTTAGTTTTTCTTTATTTTCAAATTTAGTTTACTAAGGTTTTAAATAAAACAGACTTCAATCCTGCCCATGTTGAGTAATATAGCAAAAGCTAAAAATACAACCAAATAATGCTAATTTAGTTTCTTTATATAAAAGTGCTGCATTTTTTCAATTTAGAGAAGTAACTATGTAACTGTTTAGAGACAACGTTCTTCAAGTTTTATTCATCACAAAGTTCATTTGTACACGAAAATTAATAAATTAATCAAAAGTATTAAAAAAGTTGATTTCCTTCTGGACAAAACAAGTGCAACTCCACAAAATGTTGACCAAGCTGTATTTCGCTATCAATATTATGTGGCGAATCTTTTGTTATCGATCACAGCCTTGCTTCTTCGAGGCATAGATTCGATCAGGTGATCAATGAAACTTTGTGGAATCGCTGCCCAGGCAAGGACTTGTTCAAACAGTTGATCCTTATTACGAACACCTTCACGATTAATTCTGCTGTTGACGATTTCCCACAAGTTCTCGATAGGGTTGAGATTCGGAGATTAAGGCGGCCAATCCATCACCGATAGGTGGTTGTCTTGAAACCACTGCTTGACTACTTTTGCAGTGTGTTTTGGATCGTTGTCTTGCTGAAAAACCCATTTTATTGGCATATTCCATTCAGCATGAGGTAACATAACTTTCAGGATATTTTTATACATGAAACAGTCCATTATTCCATCGATTCGATGTATTGGACCTAGACTGTTAGCAGAAAAACACCCCCAGACCATTACATTGCCTCCACCATGCTTCACGGTCTTATGGCAGTAATGTAAATCGAGGCGTTTTCCGGCCGGTTGACGTACACAAATGCCATAGCTCCCAATGATGTTGAACTTTGATTCATCACTGAACAGGACAGTTCGCCATTTCTGCACATTCCAGTCAATATGAGATGTAGCAAACAGGAGTCTTTTCTTCTGGTTCTTTAGTGAAATCAGCGGTTTCTTTGCAGGGCGTTGAGAAAACAATCTGGCTTCAACAGCACATCATCTGATTGTTCGGTCCGATACAGGCTTTTGTATCTCGACTGATGATATCCAGGGATTCTTCTTGACGGATCTGACGATCATAGAATCTTTTCTAGAAGTGGTGGAACGCGGTCTTCCACCTTTGTTATCTGCTGCCAACTTCCCCGTAGAACGATATTTGGAACATAGTCTTGATGCAGTCCATTTTTTCACGCGATATTTATCACAAATACTTTTTTGTGACATTCCACTTTTGTAATCACCAATAATTTTCTTTCTTAGTTCCAATCCAAGATTGTCGGGAGCCATTTTTGCACTTGAAGTCATAAAAATAATAAAAATAAATAATCACGCTTCTTAAGGCTTACCGTGTTACATTTACCTTGATACAATAATGCTCTGTGGAACACAACGTCTTAGTTGGATGTGGACTGTATTGATGTAATGAAACACTTGTATTTCACTTCTTGTATTGATGTTCTTCGATAAAACACTTTGATAAAACTCACTTCGATAAACTGTCTTGATAATACTAACTGATTGACTTCCATATACTGACTGAATTACATGTCGGTTTACATGTCTCTTATATAGAAAAATGAACCCGTGTGAACCTGTTCTGGAAGATTCTAGATGCTTCTTTTTGATGCTTTTGGAAGCTTCTGGATGCGTCTCGATGCTTCTGAATATTTCTGGATACTTCTGGATGCTTCTAGATGCTTCTTCGGGAAACTTTGGAAGCTTCTGCATGCTTCTGGAAACTTCTAAATACTTCTTTTAATTATTAAAAAACTTACGTGACGTTGACACGGACCAGACTTAAGAAAATGAAACAAACCAAAAAAGTTGCACTTGTTTTGTCCGTTTCAAAATGGCACTTATCAACGAAATTCTGTGCTGTCACCTGTCAGCTGATTGCTCATGTCATGGCATGCTATGACTCCAGACTCCTGAACTGTTTACTGTGGTAGTATAGTTCGTTTCGTTTTAAGATATGTAAAATTAGGAACACTTTTCGATGTTGTTTGCAAATGTTTTGTCCAATACTGTATATTTTTGGATTTTTTTGTTATAAAGTTTTTAATGCAAATTAATCAGATTTTCATAAAAGTAATTTTTTCAATTGTTTTTTTGTTTGTTACATATAGAATCAAAAAATTGTTTGTTACATATAGAATCATGGTAAAAAAAGATTTCAAAAATTTGCGCATCTCAACATCAACAGCTTTTTCGTGATGAACATCTGTAAATTTAAAAAATTGTTATTTTGAAAGTGAATGTTCATGTGATTAGGATTAAGTATCTCTGAAACCATATTTGACTTTATAATCAATACAGTTTACAGTCTTTTAATTGACTTTATAGTGCATTACGAGCAGAGCAAAAATATTACTCCTAAGTCTTCCTCATCTTTTTTTCCTTTGTTCGGCACTTAAGCATACACAGTTGTGTTACTTTTTACTCCGTAATTTGGCACCTAAGTGTACACAGTTTTTCAACTTTTTTCTCCGTAATTCAGCACCTAAGGTAAGCTACAAAGTTTAAGAGTAACTTCCAACTCTAATAGCAGTTGCTTGTTGGAAGTGAAGATGTCAAAAAAAAAAATGTCTTGAGCGTACTAAAGAGTATGAATACAACATTTTTGAATATTTTAAGAATTTGTCAATAAACTTATAAACCAATTTTTTACTCCGTTCTTATTTAGTTTGATAAATATCGTTTCAAAATTTTATTGAATTCGGATTTTGGTAATTTCAAACTTTAATGTAATGAATTGATTGTAAATAATAGTTTCAAATTAAATTCTCAACTATAATCTAACCTAATCTAATCTAACCCCTTTACCATTTTTTAAAATTTTCCACTTCTCTGCTATTCCACACACACCCACAACTCTCAGTGTCTTTAAAAATCACAACTCCATGGTCTATTAAAGAAGTCCTGAAAGTATTAATTTATTTTTTTATTATAGTTTTTAGTTTTCATTTTGTAATTGCCGATAATTTTAGTTTTTATTTATATTGTATTTTAAATATTTTTTTTACTATAAACTTTTTATTTATTTTAAGATTTTATTGTTCTAGACTGTCTAATTAGTTTTTTTTTAAGTTTTTTTTTTAATAATTAATATATTCTTTTTAGGTGGGTTTCTGGTAAATCTGCAAATGGAAAAATCAAACATTATAAGATCCATTTGTAATGAAGACGATCAATGATAATTATGTTTTAAAATTTGGTAATTTACTGATGTTGTAAAAGGAGTTTTTTGGTGGTAATAAGAAACAATATATAAACTGGGTAATTAGTTAAACATCCAAAATTAGGTTAAACAAATTCTCATGCAGTTGTACAGTAATGGATTACAAAATGCTTTTGAAGTTTTTTAATTTTGTAAAAAATAAATATTCCTCCATTTTCTTTATTTAATCTTTCATACCCTACGTCTTACTATCCATTCCACGTCTTATTCATTTGATCTTTTAGACCCTTTTATCATGAGGTAACATAACATGTTACCTCATGATAAAAGAGTCTTTTCCATCTCTTTGATATCCCTTTAACTTTTATGCCCTGTTATGTCTAAAGTTTGCAGAGTTGCTCTATCTGCCCTAGCGGGGTAAGTTGAGCAATAGTGTAGGGTAAGTTGAGCAATCAATAAATGTATGAATATGCATAGTACGAAACCTGGTGAATCATCGATAAAACATTCACTAACGTAAGCGTGTGATTAGTTTATAAATTTTTTATTTTATACATTTTAATGACGTAAGAGAAGAAAAAAAGTTAAATAGTAAGAAAGTGTCATAAAATATAAATATATCATTTTATACAATTATTTTAAAAATTGAAGCCCGATTTAAAAATTACTAATTTTAAAAACATACATAAATAATGTATCTTAAATTATTTTTTATAACAGTTGTTTCTTTGTGTTCAAAAATTCAGTGTTATTTATTTTTTTCAAAGCTGCTCAACTTACCCCACTAGACTAGGTGACACATTAGTTGAGTTTTAATAAAAACAGTAAGACATGAAAAAACGGGTAATCTTAATCGAAAGTCCGATAAATCGTTAAAATATTAACACTTAAGTGATGCCAGATAAAAAAAAATGGATAAGTATCTAAGCAAAAAATAACAAAACTTTTTTTATTTACTTTTTTGGTCGAAAATAGAAAAAGTGTCTGTGTATCTTACTCAGCTGCTTTCCAACAATATTTTGTTGCGCATTGTGTTAACACTCTAATTCACTCTAATAAAATAATAAAAATACGTTGAGCGTAATTAAAGAAATTATTGACAGAAAAAATAATGGAATAAGTATTCAACCAAAGAAACTTTTAGTAAATGGTAAAATAATATATGACAAGTCAATAGAAGCTGAAAATCTAAACAGCTTCTTTCTAAATATTGGTCCAAACTTAGCTGAAAAAATTCCTTCAAGTTCATCATCGTATGATTCTTATTTAAAAACATACGATAAAATCATGGACGAATCTAAACTAGATATTAATGAGTTACGATCTGTTCTAGATAATCTTAAAAACAACACAAGTTTAGGTTTTGATAATATTAGCATAAATGTTGTTAAATCAGTTTTTCATATTATAGAAACCTCTTTACATCATATTTTTAATCATTCTCTTAAATCTGGTACAGTTCCAGAAAAATTAAAAGTTGCACGCGTCTTGCCTATTTTTAAGTCTGGCGATGACACAGATTCTTCAAATTACAGACCAACATCAGTTTTACGATGCTTTTCTAAGTTACTCGAACGTATAATGTATAATAGGCTAAACAGCTACTTAACAGTAAATAACATGTTGTACAACAAGCAATTTGGCTTTTAAAAAAATAATTCAACTGATCACGTTTTGACGTGATCAGTTGAATGTTATTTTAAAATAACATTTAACTGATGTTATTTTAAAATAACATTCAACTGATCACGTAATGTTATTTTAAAATAATATTCAACTGAATAGAGTAAATATTTCAATTTTAACCTAAATGGAAAAATAAATGCATAATATTTATATCTAAAATAATTTTAGATATAAATATTATGCAAGTTAAAACTTTCAATAAATAAAATTATAAGAAACAAATAAAAACAACATATTAGATATAAATGAAGCAATAATGAATGAAATAAGTTATATATATATATATATATATATATATATATATATATATATATATATATATATATATATATATATATATATATATATATATATATATATATAACTTATTTCATTCATTATTGCTTCATTTATATCTAATATGTTGTTTTTATTTGTTTCTTATAATTTTATTTATTGAAAGTTTTAACTTGCATAAAATTTATATCTAAAATTATTTTAGATATAAATATTATGCATTTATTTTTCCATTTAGGTTAAAATTGAAATATTTACTCTATTAGGCATCATACACTTTTAAATTAATTTAAATTTAAGTAATATTTAAAATGAGATTATTCTCAGAAACAGGTCACATTTTTCATGAAAAAAGAGCAAGTTTGTTGCCCAAAACTGTATAGCAACTCTTTTTGCACCACAATATTGCTAAATTTCTAGAAATTCTTACATAAATAATTACTACGAATAAAATTACATTGTGTTTGAATAAGAATTTTGTATTTTTTACTTAGGTTTACCTATAGTTCTTCATTGCCCTTAAAGACAATTTTTATTTTAATATACACAATCTGTGTCTCGTGTCTTAAAAAAAAGGTAAAAAATTAATTCCGTCATTCCGGACGGAATTTGTGAATTTGAGGTAATTCCGGCCGGAACCAGAATGACTTAAGAATCACAAATTCCGGCCGGAACAAAATTCCGGTAAAAACCCTTTAAAAAAAATCGAAAAAAGCAATTGCTAGAAAATAATTAAATTATATTGAAACTAAATACCACTAAAAAAGAAAAATAATTTTTTTTGTGGTTAATTTTTGAGAATTCACCAATTCGTACGCCTTTTTCCGAGACTTATCGGAAAATCAGGTTGGGATCGTCCATAAATTACGTAACGCAAACTTTTACAACAAGTAAAAAAAAAAAATCAAAAGTTTTCCCTCGCAGAATCTTTTTTTAAACAAAAAATAAAAATAGCCCATTAAGTTTAATGAAAATCGCCGCGTTAAAAAGCTTAAAATTTAATGTAATTTTTTACCTTCAAAATTAAATATGAAAACCACCATCTCAGCATCGTGGCTACATAACATACAAAAGATACGTGACTACATAACATACAAAATATAAAAGACACTAAAGCGAGAAATTGCTAAGGGATCGTCAATAAATTACGTAATATATATATATATATATATATATATATATATATATATATATATATATATATATATATTAATTTATAAAAATAAAGAAAACAACTTTTTTTGGTACTAATAGTTTCATGCCTAAAGGCAATCATCAGCCATGTAATACAAAACAAGAAACAAAAAAAACCGTTAAAATATAAAGTTACAGTGGAATGTGCTCCGTCGTCAAAACAAAACAAAAACAAAAACCTAAAAACGGCTGCCTAATCACCCGTATCGAAATTCGAAAGGAGGAACTTGCTTTTATGTCTACATTTAGATACTAATTCATTCCTCTTATTTAATAAGTTATCATAGGTGTACGATATTATGAAATACTTTTCGTATAGACATAAGTTGCATCGTTTTATTGTGGGATTGTAAGATCTACAACGTTTTAAAATTTTCCATTTAATTGTCGGGTTTACTCCATTTTCTTTTAACTTCCATACTTCCTTAGACAACTCAGTATCATTTTTATATTTTTCGATCTTAAAAGATTTTGTATGATTAGCGTATCTAAGTTTAAAAGCAGTTTCACTTACTCCAAAATACACTTTTTCAATCCCGTCTGGAGTGCCTGGATATAGAGTGGCTTGATACACTATGTTATTAACGAGACACTGTTGATTTAAAGGGCACTTGCTTTTAGTAATACAATTGCAACTTTTATCTGATTCTGGGGGGATGCTTTTCATAATATGACGGTTATGAAAGTTAACGATTGATTTGATGTTTGGCATACAACTGTAACTCACCTTTAGAGTATTTCTATTAAAAATCTTGTGGTATTTATGTCCAATAGGAAAGTGCTTGTCAATTAAATCCAAAAAGATTTTACCAATTTTAGTAGAAACATTTTTACTATATGGGGGGTTAAACCAGATAATATTGCGCTTACGGTTTTTTGGTAGAGGTTGAATGAGTTTCGGAATATAATTAAGTTTAAATTTGTAACCAGACTTTTTTAATGCATCCTGATACAAATGAGCAGAGCTTCGAAAGCTAGTGTCATTAGATGAATTAGCTGACAACCTTAATTCTATAGAACGAGGAAGTTGCTTTATTATGCTAGGAGGGTGATTGGAATCAACATGTATATAATTTAGTTCATTGATTGGTTTACAAAATGGTCTAAAAGATTGATCATTGAGATTAAGTGTTACATCAAGGAAGTTCACAACTTTCATGTTACATTGTATGGAGATAGAAAGATTGTTATTTTTAAAAATTTGAATAATATGTTTTTTTATCGTGTCCATAAGGAAGCAATAGCAAGAAATTATGCATAGCAAGAAATTATGTCCACTCTTTCCTCACCTCCGCCAAAGTTTCATTATGGCCACTAACCTGTTTCTGCTTAACAAAAAAGTAAATCAAAAAATCAATGAGCATTATATTAAATTTAAATTTAATATAATGCTCTATTAAATAATATAAATAAATCCTATTTATTTATTATTGAGCACTCTTATACGTTCAAGAGTTTTTTGTATTTTATTGAAATACAAAATATCATACAATATATATATATATATATATATATATATATATATATATATATATATATATATATATATATATATATATATATATATATATATATTACGTAGTTTATTGACGATCCCTTAACAATTTCTCGCTTTAGTGTCTTTTAAGATTTATACGAGTAAACCCATTTTAAAACTTAATTTGAAGCCATATGTTTAAGCCTAACAAACAGTGACTTATTCAAAGTTAGCATCCCGTAGCGTAGCAAGAAATTATGTCCACTCTTTCCTCACCTCCGCCAAAGTTTCATTATGGCCACTAACCTGTTTCTGCTTAACAAAAAAGTAAATCAAAAAATCAATGATTATTTAGCAGCCCTATTAGCACTATTAGCCCCTATTAGGCTCTATATTATGTTAGCCCCTATTAGGCTCTCATGTTGAACCCGACTTATTTGTTTACTAAAATGTTAATTATAGAATGTTAATTGTAGGTTATTATAAGAATTACCTTTTGTGATATACGTGAAAGAAAATCCTTTTACAATGCCCTAACACATCCGCTAGCCACATACATCAGAGTATTACCTAAAGTATT